ATATTAAGAAAAAAGGCCAAAATAGTGAGGAGGTTGATGAATGTGTGAGGGAGGCGGGGAAGGGAACACGGCTTTGCCTTTTATGTGTAGTAACTGTCACGCTGGGCCTGTGGGCGCCCTCTGGAGGAGGGAGGGCATGCTGGGGAGGACGGGCGCCCTCTGGAGGAGGGAGGGCGTGCTGGGGAGGACGGGCGCCCTCTGGAGGAGGGAGGGCATGCTGGGGAGGACGGGCAGGAGAAGGTAGGAGAATAAATACAGGAGGAGGAGGAGGAGGAGGAGGAGGACTAAGAGTTAATAATAATAACGGAAATATAATCCTCGTGTGATGAACAACATTTGACAATATCACAACTGTTGTGCCTGATCAACCAGGCTGTGACTCATACGTCAGGCTGCGAGCAGCCGCGTCTAACAGCCTAGTTGATCAGTCCAGCAACCAGGAGGCCTGGTCGACGACCGGGCCGCGGGGACACTAAGCCCCGGAAGCACCTCAAGGTAACCTCAAGGTGGGTCGCAAGTGGTATTATCTATTAATTGTGATTGCCTGAAATGTATAGGAAATGTCTATTATTCCCCCCTCAGTCTTTGCTATTGGCACCGGGGTATTCATATTTTGAAGTTATATTATTGATTTATTTATTTATTTATTTATTTATTTCTTGAAGGAAGGCTGTAGATTCTTTAACCAGAGCTGCGATAAAGTGTTTCATGAGTCCCAGATTGATGTGCAGGAGTGGTATTAACACCTGCCGGGTGGCCCCGTCAGTGGCTCCCACTTGAGAGCGATCCTCTCCACGGACTACTCTACCCCCTTGTGGCCAGTCACGTCTGTGGTAGTGCACCATAGTGTTAATGGCACAGCTAGTGAAGGGGGCACTATGTTATCACCGTCGAGCAGTGAAGGGGGCACTATGTTATCACCGTCGAGCAGTGAAGGGGGCACTATGTTATGACCGTCGAGCAGTGAAGGGGGCACTATGTTATCACCGTCGAGCAGTGAAGGGGGCACTATGTTATATGTGTCGAGCAGTGAAGGGGGCACTATGTTATGTGTGTCGAGCAGTGAAGGGGGCACTATGTTATGTGTGTCGAGCAGTGAAGGGGACACTATGTTATGACCGTCGAGCAGTGAAGGGGACACTATGTTATGACCGTCGAGCAGTGAAGGGGGCACCTACGTTGTTGGGAAGCCCCGCTGGAGTGTCTAATCTAGTTAAAGCTCTTGGTGTGTTGGCGGAGGGGAAGGGGGCTTCACTGTGATACCCCTCTCCCCTTCCAGAGAGGAAAGGGGTACTTAACTATTATCGCCCTCAACCCCCGGAGAGAAAAGAGGTTTCAGTAAGAAACTCTGTCACCACCTCCATTACCATTACCCTTTACCCTTCCCTTCGCTTCACCGAGACTCCCCCTTCAGCCTCCTCCCCCAGAGGGAAAAGGGCCTCTTCCATCCTTCTCCACACCTGTCCCTCTGACTATATGGAATGAGTGTAAACCGTTTACTTTTTCCAGTACACTCAACATAGGTATATATACTCAATTCACATGGCCTAATTAATACTTATACACCTATTCCATACTATGCGCGCGCGAACGCACGCACGCACACTCACACACACACGCACTCACTCACGCGCACACACACATAAGACAGAAGAGTAAGGGGAAACATGATCATTACCTACAGAGGAATTGACAGGGTAGATAAAGATAAACTGTTTAACACTGGTGGTACGCGAACGAAGGGGACACAGGTGGAAACGGAGTGCCCACATCAGCCACAGGGACGTTAGAAAGGACTTTTTCAGTGTCAGAGTAGTTAACAGGTGGAATGCATTAGGCAGTGATGTGGTGGAGGCTGACTCCATACACAGTTTCAGATGTAGATATGATAGAGCCCAATAGGCTCAGGAACCTGTACACCAGTTGATTGACGGTTGAGAGGCGGGACCAAAGAGCCAGAGCTCAACCCTCGCAAGCACAACTAGGTGAGTACACACTAGTCTTCAACTGCATAACAAAACTGAAAGACAGGAAGGTGTGGAAGCCAGAAAAGGGTGAACGGCCAGCAAAAAATGTGACTACACGAGAATAACAAAATATCTGGAGACTGTATTACAGCGAGTCAGGAGAAGTCAGCCCGAAGTTTTGTACTAAACGCTATGCGTACTAGTGGCTATAGGTATTGTATGTACTACCTTTATCTTTAAATCTAACAGAATGTTTGTACTGTAACGCTGCAACTATGTATGTACTGTTCCTAAATAAATTATTATTATTATTATTATTATTATAAGCAGAGAGCCCGTCAAGATATTTATATCTAAGAGACAATGGGCAGCGCTGAAAATTGCAAACCATGGTTCAATTGGCAGTGCCAACACTCATAAATAAGAAGCAGAAGTGGAAAAAAAGAGAACGTACTATAGAACCCATGCTGAAATATTACCTAACAAATTGCGAAGTATAACTATAAGGGTTAAGTAATACCTGTCGAAATTTGCCGATGCAAACTTAATGGGTAGAACTGAACAGACGAGGGTTGCATAATACAACAGAAACACTGTAACATGCTAACAAGTTAGTCAGATAAATGGTTATTAGACTGTAATGCTGGTAAATGCAAGGTAATGAGACTATGAACAGGAAACAGGAGGCTTAAAGGATGGTACACAACGAAGGGGAACCATCTCCCAGAATCAACTAGACATAGGAGTAGGTATAACGCCAAACATTACGCTGAAGAAACACAAAAGCAGGATAATGTTAAGGACATATACGATACTAAAGAATATTAGTACAGCTATCTTGGATCTTAATAAAGATACATTTAGAGCTGTGCTTACCATGTACGAGAGACCACTCGAAGAGAATGCAGCTCCGGCATGAAGTCCCAGTTCAAGAAACACAAAGGAAGGTTGTTCCGTTGTTCTCGCATCAAGGTAGGATGGTGTACGATGAAAGATGGAAGAAATTACGAACTAGTTGTGCTATGAGAGAGAGAGAGAGAGAGAGAGAGAGAGAGAGAGAGAGAGAGAGAGAGAGAGAGAGAGAGAGAGAGAGAGAGAGAGAGAGAGAGAGAGAGAGACGAGGCACGAGGCACGATAAAATATACAGAAAAATAGGTCGGGAAAAGGCATGATGAAAACATTAACTTCTTCGGGAACTGACTAGGAAAAAAAGGTTGAGAAAGAGTAAAAATCAGATGAGAGGACACAGAGAGCAGCTTCATAGACAGATGTGTTGAACTAGGCAAGAAGACAGACGCCAATTCCTTGAAGAATTTCCGTAGCAGATGGGATGCATAATCAAGTTGGTAGTCATTGCACTATAGACCACCGACGGTGGCCTGATAGGCGGGAACCAAGAGGTGGAGCTCGATCATGAAAGTAGAAATAGGTGAGCACACCCTCGCGGGGTTTCATTATAGTAAACTCGTGCATCACTATGACCTATTTCCCCATTACTCTCTATCCCGCCTCTTTTCCCCATTATTTTCCCAAATGGCTTCCCCCTCCCCTCTCCTCCTCCCTTACTTCCCCCCCTTCTCTCCCTCTCACATCTCCTCCTTACTTCTCCCTCTCACCTCTCCATCACCCTCTTGCACAATGCAAACAACATCTTGCTGTTAACGAAGCCCTTCCCTTGGTCTCTGCGTTTACCGAGAAAATTAAGTTTATGATAATCTGAGCGTACATCTTAACAAGGCCCCCCTCCGTCCTTAAGCAAAGTTACACATTCTCTCACACAATTAATTAGCTAAAGCACCTTTCTTATGCACCAAACACACACACACACGCACACTCTCGTGTACTCTTGAGCAGCCACTAGCGGTCCACACACTTCAGCACTCTCCACCACACCCACTCTTCTACACTTCAACGTTCCTTAACCACTCTCCAGCACCCAGCAGCCACGCCCTACTCTTCAGCAGTCACCAACTCACACCCATTCTTCAGCATCTCCCTAAACACACACACACACGGCGAGACCAAAGAGCCAGAGCTCAACCCCCGCAAGCACAACTAGGTGAGTACACACATCCACCAACCACTAAGGAACTTCTAGTCCTAGGTAGCGTAATACCTATTAGGCTATTGGGTAGTCTAATACCTAATAGCCTAAAGATGGAAGTAGTCTCTTGACTACACCTAACTTTAGCCTCATCTGACTTAATATAGAAGTAGAACTTAAAGCTTCAAAAATTAATCTAAAAAAATTGCAACAAAACATTATAACTCGAAACGAAAACATCGCACCTTAAAAATCTGCGCAGTGGCTTTCGAAAATAAATAATTTGTACAGCCTATGTGTCTCGCTAGGCTTGGTGTATTTACAACTCATTATTCTCTCCTCGTCCTTTGTTCACTTATACTTTGCAGTCTTGTTCAAAAATGTAAACACTTTCATGAACAAATATGTTGAAATTGCAGAATATTGTTATTATTTATATTGTATTATTATTTTGCCTTATTCTTTTCTATGTTATTTACAAACCCGCTTCTCGAATCATGTCACAAAAATTAATCATGTCACGATCAACTTAATATACGTTGAGAGGTGAACCATACATGTACATACACCGAGAGGTAAACCTTACGTTTCAGTGTATATGCACTGAAAGTTTACTTCAGTCTTGAGCTGTATTTAGGCTTAAACTATACCTGCAGGTTTGCCAGTAAGCTAATTTCATTCACCCTTGATAAAGAACTCTTGTGGGTCATGTAGACCTTAAGTCACTTTACCCAGGAGCCTACTGACCTCTGCGCCCTGAGGATGGCCAGTGTTCTGCCACCACTCTCTCCCGGCCCTCTCTCCTACCTCTCTCACCCGGCCCTCTCTCCCACCACTCTCACCCGCCCCGCTCTCCCACCACTCTCACCCGCCCCTCCCACCACTCTCACCCGCCCCTCTCTCCCACCTCTCTCACCCGCCCCTCTCTCCCACCTCTCTCACCCGCCCCTCTCTCCCACCTCTCTCACCCGCCCCTCTCTTCCCCGCAGGTCGAGGACAAGCAGACGCGGGAACACGTCGAGCGCCTTTTCAAAAAGCTCGACCTTAATGGCGACGGTGTTGTCACGATCGACGAGTTTATCCAGTCCTGTATGCAGGTGAGTTGGCCCTCCCTACTGCCGTCTCTACCAGGTACTTAAACCTTCACGTTTACCTGATTAAACACACCTGATTGTCGCCCCTGCGCCCTGTTGACCACAGCCTATTTAATGCACCGTAAAATTAGCTTTTATAAAGCAAATTTGCTAGTTCTGATGTGCTGTGATCGTTCTAAAAACGCTTACAAGCGCTTTGCATACCTAATAAATACTGTTTTATAAACAAAAAACTAATTACTCCTATGATATTGATCCAGGTATGTGTGATCTCGCTGAGATTATTTTATTTTATCTTATCATGGTGAAATATATATCTTTGAAATATATGTGTTTTTTTTGTGTGTGTGAGTGTGCGTGTGTGTACCTACTCGCCTCGATGCACTCTCCAAGGAGGTGTTCTCTCACTCGTCCTACAAATGCCCCCCCCCCTCTGCCATAGTTTGACTCTCCTGCTTGTATAGGAGCCTCTTGCGTGGAGTGGGGTCCGTCGGACAATCTGGCAGCTAAGGAGGACGCAGTTTACCCCCTGGCGTGTCAAACAGGAGTCGTCCTACACTGAATCCATGATGGGGGGTTTCGTAGGAAATTCCTACGGTCTACGTCCTTGGCTCACAATCAAAGCACCCGGGTGCTATCCCCAGGCTGGACAGAAATAGTTGGGCCTCTGTACCTGGCACCTCTGTTTACCCTAGCAGGACATAGATACCTTGGAGCGTGGCAAGTCCTGGGTTGCATCCTGGGCGAGGTCAATGGGTGACCTATGTAAGCCTAACAGGCTTCCTGTCCCTGACAGCGGGAAATATTATATCAGAGTCTCCCCCCTGATTACCTCCGCTAATACCACACAAAGAATGGGTGAGGTCGACGCCGGAGTGTGGCGGTACGGAGCCTCCTGTCTGTCAGCCTGTCTGGGGTCTCGCCACACCTACACCAGGGATCATCAGGCACTTTAAGTGCCCTCTTACGAAACCTGTGCATCTCTCCTCAGTTATGGCGGCTTGGTTTACTCTTATGAACGAAGCACTACGAGGCTTTTTGATTGACCGAGTGCGTCAGAATCGCGGTCTATTAAACGTGAGGACAGGCTGTTCAGAGCCATCTGTCCTCCCCGCAGCCTTAGTTAACACAGGGATTTACATGTTACGACCTTCTCTTATTATTTCATCAGGGCTTGTTGGGGGCTGTTTTGTAGCTGTTGTGGATCTCTTGTAACTCTTGTGTATCTTGTAGCTGTTATGAATATGTTTTAGCTGTTGTGCATCTCTTGTAGCTGTTGTAGATATCTTGTAGCTGTTGTGGATATCTTGTAGCTGTTGTGGATCACTTATAGCTGTTGTGGATCTCTTTTAGCTGTTTTGGATGTCTAGTAGCTGTTGTGGGTCTCTTCTCTCCGGCACTCCCACAATTTTTTTCCAAGGCTTTTTTGTTTTCATCAGAAAAAATACACATGGACCCACTGGCTGATGATGTGCTCCCTTCCATTGTCTCTTGCAGGCGATACGAACTTCTTCTCGGCCTTCTGACATTTCTTGCTGACAGAGTCCATCATTTTCCATCCTCAGAAATTTCCCAATATTTCAGTATTTTCCAGACGGCATATCCCAGTTCTTAGTCTGTCTCATATCCCAGCTCTTAGTCTATCTCATATTGATTTTAAATGCTATATAGTCATACTGGTTTGCAGTCTTGCCTTATATTTGCTTATATTTGTGCTTATCTTATGTTTTAGTTGGCCCAGGATGGACTTTGATAAACCTAGGCACAGGCTTCCTGTCCCGGACAAGGGGAATTCTCAGCAGGAGTCGTGTCAACATCAGGTTACTAAGTCAGCCCCTTAATAGTGTCGGCCGGGATATTAACAGCATGTTACCTGCCCTGTCACGACACCTGGGGTCCGGGGGAGAGGAGGGTGTTCGGGGGAAGGGGGGGGATGGTGTGAGAGGGGGTAAGAGGTTATGTAAGGTTAAGGGGGGTGAGGGGAGAGGTAGAAGACTAGGTCATGTAGAGAGATAGGGAAAGAGAGAGAGAGGGGAGGGAGGTGATGTAAGGGGGAGGTCTGAGGGAAGGGTCAGGAGAGGGGGAAGGAGGTGATAAGAGAGGGAGCGAGGGGGTGTGGGAGAGAGGTATACGTCCTGATGCCCAGCATACTTCCCCCCACCTCTCACCATACTTGTCACCACAGTGAGAGCACACACTAGCCAAGAGAGCACACACTAGCCAAGAGAGCACACACTTGCCAAGAGAGCACACACTGCCCACCACGAGACGCCTCGAAGCACCACAGAAAAAGAATTAACTATTGATTGTCGCTCCAGTTCTCACCTTTGGGATAAGTTTGAAGCACCAGGAATGTTTGAGCACTCCTCCCCCTCGCTGTAAATATAGCTCCTCTGCACAATGGGGGGTAGTAAAGCCTTGGCAAAAAATTATAGACCAATTGCACTTACATTACACAATAATAAAAGATTTTGAGAGAGTGATTAGGAATCAAATTTCTAGTTTTATGGAAAATAATGAGTTACACAACCCAGGGCAACATGGATTTAGAGCGAGAAGATCCTGTCTGTCACAGTTACTCAACCACTATGACAAAATCACAGAAGCTTTAGAAGAAAAGCAAAATGCAGATGTTGTATACATAGACTTTGCAAAGGCATTCGACAAATGTGACCATGGAGTGATAGCACACAAAATGAGGTCAATGGGAATAACTGGTAAAGTAGGACGCTGGATACTCAATTTCCTGTCGAACAGAACACAAAGAGTAACAGTCAATCAAATAAAATCAAGTCCAAGCGCAGTTAAAAGCTCTGTACCTCAAGGTACAGTCCTTGAACCACTGCTGTTCCTTATTCTCATATCAGATATAGACAAAAATACAAGTCACAGCTTCGTGTCGTCCTTTGCAGATGACACACAAATCAGCATGAAAATTACCTCTGCTGAACACATTGAAAAACTACAAGCAGATATTAACAACATTTTCTATTGGGCAGCAGACAATAACATGATGTTTAACAGTGATAAATTCCAGGTACTCAGGTACGGCAAAAATGAGGATCTGAAACATAATACGGGGTACAAAATACAATCGAATCTGCCCATAGTAGGAAAACAGCATCTCAAGGATTTGGGAATAATGATGTCCGACGACCTAACGTTTAGGGAGCATAGCCAAGCAAATATTGCGTCAGCCAGAAAAATAATAGGATAGATTACGAGAACTTTCAAATCCAGGAATCCCATCACAATGGTTGTACTCTTCAAGTCACTTGTGTTGTCCCGTCTTGAGTACTGCTCAATACTCACTTCCCCTTCAGAGCAGGAGAGATTGCTGAAATAGAGGGAATACAGAGAACATATACGGCACGCATAGACGAGATAAAGCACCTAAATTGTTGGGATCGTCTCAAAGCTCTCCAAATGTACTCACTTAAATTAAATTAAAATTAAACCTCACGTCACTGAGAGACAGAAGAGTTAGAGGGGACATTATCACCACATACAAGATTCTCAGCGGAATTGATAGGGTAGATAAAGACAGACTATTTAACACAAGGAGCGCACGAACTAGGGGACACAGGTGGAAATTGAGTGCCCAAATGAGCCATAGAGACGTTAGAAAGAATTTTTTCAGTGTCAGAGTAGTAGACAAATGGAATGCATTAGAAAGCGATGTGGTGGAGGCTGACTCCATACACAGCTTTAAGTGTAGATATGATAGAGCCCATTAGACTCAGGAACCTGTACATTAGTTGACTGACAGTTGAGAGGCAGGACCAAAGAGCCAGAGCTCAACCTCCGCAAGAATAACTAGGTAAGTACTAGAAAGGAGACGAGAGAGATACCAAATAATATACACCTGGAAGATACTGGAGGGACAGGTCCCAAATCTACACAATAAAATAACAACGTACTGGAGTGAACGATATGAAAGAAAATGCAGAATAGAACCAGTGAAGAGCAGAGGTGCCATAGGCACAATCAGAGAACACTGTATAAACATCAGAGGTCCGCGGTTGTTCAACACCCTCCCGGCGAGCATAAGATATATTACCGGAACAACCGTGGACATCTTCAAGAGAAAACTATACTGTATTAAAAAAAAAAAAAGTGCCGGACCAACCCGGCTGTGGTGGGTATGTGGGCCTGCGGGCCGCTCCAAGCAACAGCCTGGTGGACCAAGCTCTCACAAGTCAAGCCTGGCCTCAGGCCGGGCTTGGGGAGTAGAAGAACTCCCAGAACCCCATCAACCAGGTAATGAGGAAGGGGGCCAAGTGTGGCCCTTGGGTGTGGGAGGGGGGCCACGTGCGGCCCCCCCTCCCACTCCTACCCCCCCCCCACTTCACGTTATTCTTAAACACAGGGTCCGCCAGTGTGACCTGACTCTGAAGAATGCGTGTCCAAACAGTTTAAATGTTCAGCGCGTGGAGCCGCGTGGCCATTTGGCAAGATGGTCGACTTCCCGGCGTGACGCCTGTTCACTGTCCCAGCGCTAATCACACAGCTTTGACAAGTTGTTAAGAAAAGGAGCCATAGAAGTAGCAAGAGGAGGCCTTGATGGCTACCATCATTAGTGGCCTCAACGGAGACAGGAAGCCGGCGGTTGCTCATTCACCACCCCCCACCTCCCTTCCTATATTCCTAAGGACTTTTTCTGGGTGAATTTTATTCCGAAGTAATGTCTAGGCGATGAGTAATCATTTCCAATGAGTATGTTGGATCAACGTGAACATCCGACGTAAACACGTCAACTAAAGTCCAATAGACTGCCCCAAGACTAGTCTCGGAGCTGAGGAGAATGAGCCACAAGGAAAGTGAACTCGAAACCTGTCTCACGACACAGGACGAACACAGGAAAAGGGGAATTGAACAACGACCTTCTGGGACAAGGACTGACTCTTTCAAGTCGAAGGAAGAGGACTATGTGAGGTGAATAGACGGTGAACACGCAGATTGAGAGAGAGGTCAGGCTGAACATGTTCAATAGCAGCCACAGC